CTCCTTTTGATTCCTCGTGTTCCTGTTGTCCATTCTCCCTGTCCGCTGAGGTCAGAGGTCGTACATCCCTCAGCAAAGGAAATGTGTTCTGGGCTGAAGGTGTGTGTGTGTAACATGTCTTTGTTTTACACTTTAAACGGTTTTAGAAACTTTCAGTAACATGTATTTTCAACCTGTTTCAAATTTACTGTAAAAGTTAAAGACCTGTGTGTGTAGAAAACCCTTTATTCACGAGCTGCACTTTGGTTACATGCTAAGCTAATGCTAGTTAGCTTAGCATGTGTCGGCTGCCTCGCTTGTGGCCGTAATGCTCACGTTACAGACACTGACCTTTACTTTGTGTGTTGTACTGATTTGAGTTTAACATCAAAGTGTTACATAAAAAGGTAGCTGTGAATTCAGAATATGTTGTTTTATATAAAACTTAAAGCTAAAATGCATTTCATGATGTTTAAAATGTTGAGATGAGTTTGGTATAATTTGGAAATGCTGTTAGAATTTGGTACTTCCCTAGTCCAGCAGGTAGACACAACCAGCAGTGTTGCCAGACCGAAAACACAACAATATCGTACTGCATCTTTAAAGTCATCGTATTTTACTCAAAACTATTGTAAATGTAATTTAAAGAAGAAAGGAAAACTATGCCCTGCACATCACATTGACTGAAATAAACAAACTAACGAACACATTATTTAAGTAAATTGTCCTGCTATGCACGTAGCTAAGCTAGTAGCATCTTAAGTTGTTGTGATGTGCGTTTTCTGACAGTCTGTCTGGCAAAACAAGCCACAGGTGTGATCAGGGCATCAGGTGATGATTCGATTGGCAGGTAGAGTGGAGGGCGTGTTGTGATGGCCATATCAGTCATGCTGCTCTGTTTGGTTGTGGGGGCATTGAAATAGCAAAATGATTGTACATTCAGCCTTTTCTGCTACTATTGAGCATACAGAGGGCAAAAACATCATGCAGGAGCTTTTATCAATGAACTTTGAACTCACACTTCACTCCTGCAGAGGATTCACCCTTTGACATTAAGTAGTCCCACACTGACACATGCAACTAAAGTAGCAATAAAGAACAACAAGCCAAAGGCTGTCAGAGATCTGCTCGCTGTCTGGTATCAATTAACTCTTTTCTGTCTCACATTGCCAATAACCCCCGCCCCCCCAAATGTGCAGTGACTGTGAGAGCTCTTGCAAAAACAACTTTTTTATTTTTTTTCGAGTCCGCCTGTTTGTAAAGTGAGCACACTTTGTCTTGCAGCAATGTGACCGCAGGCTGTCCAAGCCGCCATTTCCCCCCAGTGTTACTTAGTTTTCTATCCTAGTTTGTTTCCCTTGTGTGTTAATGTTTCCTAGTTTGGTCTTTAGTGTTTCCTGTTTTATTTTGTAATTTCTTTTCATTGTGTCTCTCTCTATGTTGTAGTGTGCGTTATTATTACATTCTTGAGTTCTCTGTGTGTCTTTAGTGTATTAGTCCCCATCGTTGTCTTTATTTCTGTCTCTGTGTGTTGATTGCCCTGATTTCCTTCACCTGTGTCTGATCTCTCTCTGTTGGTCTGTCTGCCTGTCTCTCTTGTTTTACCAGCCAATCAGAGATAGAGTAGGGTGGGTACTTGAGGGATGTGAATTATTTATTAGCCTTTTTATATAATCATGTTCTTTATACTTTTTTTTTTTGTATTTTGTAACATGTAGTTGCAATAGATGTGTGGCTTTTTCAATATAATTAAGGTTTGTATTCATGATTGATTTTGAATTAATCTGAGAGTTTTATGATCTTTATTATTATTATAACATGACATGAGTTTTATGATCTTTATTATTATAACATGACATGAGTTTTATGATCTTTATTATTATAACATGACATGAGTTTTATGATCTTTATTATTATTATAACATGACATGAGTGACGTGAGCGCTGAAACTCACCTGACGGTCCTTTAGCAGTCTGTTTCTACATGTCGGACATTCTTTGAAACACAGCTAAACTAAGTTCGACTGCTAGCCTGGTCCAGAGCAGACTTGTTCACCAGCATTAGTTACCATGGTAACTCAGCGAGGATTCATATAAGCTACGTGGTGGAATGAAACTCCCACTTAAATGAGCCGGACTTATCGAAATAAGCAAGGATTGAATGAACACAGATTTCCCTTCAGTTAAATTTAGGATCTATGGGACGTTATTGATTCCCCTCATACAGTCAGATGGTTTATTCCACAGTTAAAGACAAACTCTAATTGATTGGTTTCCATGTTGGGGGACAGACCATGTCAAACAATAAATTCATCATTTCCTATTTCATCGATCTTTTATAGTTAGTTACAGTAAATGTGTTTCTGTGTAGTGTCTCATCCCAAAGTGATGTCAAACAAACAGAAAAGAAATGCATCTTTTTTCTTTAATTTTAATGTTCACTGACACATCAAATCAAACTTTAAGGCCAGCTTGATCCTCCATCTTCACTCAGGCCTCTTCAGCGACCACCTCAGGAGAAGATTTCTTCTGACAAAAATCTGAGGAAACAGAGGAAACAGACAAGAATAAAAAGATGGTTTTTATGAAAAACGTGCTAACTGTACACAGAACAAACCTAGACCAAACTGACCTGCAGCTCCATCGTAGGTGAAAATTATCTCTTGAGGGAATTCCAGACACTCAGCCAATTTCTTATGATTGTTGTGGTCCTCTTTCATCTTCTCGACGTCCTGATGATTTCCCTCCCTCTCTGACACACAAATACAAACAAAAGAACCATCACATCAAGCATGTTTAGTGTAAACACTGAGTCTGTTAACCCTGAATTGAGGGAAAGTCTGAAAGTTTAAAAGCGTGTGTGTTTACTGTAGAAAAGCAGGAATCCCTCTGCTTTGCCCGTGTACATCATTGTCAAACAGTCCTCGCAGGTCTCAAAGAATTGTGCTTGTCCATTTTCGTTGTACACGGTAGGAACTCCGTCTGTTTCCACCGCTTAAACACACAAACAACATATGTTACTTTGACATACCAGCAAAAGCAACAGTGAGACAGTGAAACAGCAAAACAGTGAAACAACGATACGTGTTCATTGAGTGTCAGCTACGCTCTGATACACACGGAGTAGCACCATCGGACAACTGGAGTCCCAAGACCAAGGAGTTCCCGCAGTAATAACAGAACCACAAGCTTACCCTATTGTTTTAAGGAGTTTTGAAAGTTTTGAAGTGTGAAAGCACTAATGCTGAGGAAAAACACCTAGCGGATAAAGTTCGTTCTAAAACGAGGGTGAACCTTGTGTTGTCTTTTACCCGTGGACGTGGAGTTGATCTATTTCCTGTTGGACAGGCAGGTGACAAACACCTAGCTTGTGCTAGCATGCGTTAGCTTGAAGTGTTGGTTTGTAGGTTTGTTTGTCTCTGGTCTGACCCGCACACACTGGGCCGTCAGTGTGAGTGTGTGTGTCTGCTGTATTGGACATGTGTAAAATGGTTATAAGGTCACATGAATGCATACTTAATGAGTGTGAAAAATGATGTCCTATCATACAATAAATTGTTATTCCAAGATTAGAAGACAAACAGTTGAATGATGTGGTTAAACACAAATGAGAATGTGAATCAATTTGCGCACAAAACAATAACAAAAGTTGTGACTGTCATTCGACTATATGAGAAATCTGAAGAATCAGGCTCCACTATGTAAATCCTTAGTCAAGGACTGATCTGTAGTATACTTAACTGTACCTATGCATTTACCAAATAGCATTATGCCAATGATGCCATAACAAGTTTAGAAAGACTAACATGTATGTGTGTTTACGTGACTCACTGGCAGAGGAGGCGTGTAGTGTGCGCTCTTCAGGGTCCGTCGGCATTGACATGTTGATGTCAAACTTAATGCATGAGTTGTTACTGAAATAAAAACAAAACCAGTTAGACAGTGCAACCAAAGGACACAACAACCTTCTAGCTCTGCAACTGTCAAGACACATTGATAACTTAGTGATATCTCTACCTCCCCACCGGATCTTTGGTTGACGGTCTGCCAGAACAGCCACCGCCCCCGCCCCCCCCCCACACCCCCCACCGGATTGTTGATGGACGGTCTGCCTCCCCCCTCCCCCTTGCTCCCTATCCCGCTTCCTGCATCTTATCCCATCTCTCCCCCTATCCCTTTCCAAGCCCAGCACAGTCTAGACCTGTGAAGGCTGTTTCATCATGAGTCGAGGATCCGGCCGAAGATTTCTGCCTTTTAATAAGGCAGTTTTTTCTTACCACTGTAACTTTTGCTGCTTTGCTAAAGTGCTCATGATGGATAGGCCGGATCTTTGTAACATAACAATGAGTAAGGTCTTCTACCTGCTTTTTGTATCATAACAATGAGTAAGGTCTTCTACCTGCTTTTTGTAACATAACAATGAGTAAGGTCTTTTACCTGCTTTTTGTAACATAACAATGAGTAAGGTCTTTTACCTGCTTTTTGTAACTTAACAATGAGTAAGGTCTTTTACCTGCTTTATGTAACATAACAATGAGTAAGGTCTTTTACCTGCTTTTTGTAACATAACAATGAGTAAGGTCTTTTACCTGCTTTTTGTAACATAACAATGAGTAAGGTCTTTTACCTGCTTTTTGTAACATAACAATGAGTAAGGTCTTTTACCTGCTTTTTGTAACTTAACAATGAGTAAGGTCTTTTACCTGCTTTATGTAACATAACAATGAGTAAGGTCTTTTACCTGCTTTTTGTAACTTAACAATGAGTAAGGTATTTTACCTGCTTTTTGTATCATAACAATGAGTAAGGTCTTTTACCTGCTTTATGTAACATAACAATGAGTAAGGTCTTTTACCTGCTTTTTGTAACTTAACAATGAGTAAGGTCTTTTACCTGCTTTTTGTAACTTAACAATGAGTAAGGTCTTTTACTGGTTTTTGTAACTTAACAATGAGTAAGGTCTTTTACCTGCTTTTTGTATCATAACAATGAGTAAGGTCTTTTACCTGCTTTATGTAACATAACAATGAGTAAGGTCTTTTACCTGCTTTATGTAACATAACAATGAGTAAGGTCTTTTACCTGCTTTTTGTAACTTAACAATGAGTAAGGTCTTTTACTGGTTTTTGTAACTTAACAATGAGTAAGGTATTTTACCTGCTTTATGTAACATAACAATGAGTAAGGTCTTTTACCTGCTTTTTGTAACTTAACAATGAGTAAGGTCTTTTACTGGTTTTTGTAACTTAACAATGAGTAAGGTCTTTTACCTGCTTTTTGTAACTTAACAATGAGTAAGGTCTTTTACTGGTTTTTGTAACTTAACAATGAGTAAGGTCTTTTTACCTGCTCTTTGTAAAGTGTCTTGAGATAACACTTGTTATGAGTTGACGCTATACAAATAAATTGAATTGAATATCTGCTCCTCTTAGCCCAATATCTCTTATGATCATATACGGTCGTATCTTGAAGTTTTTTTCCTCAACAACTCTACTTGTTGTACTAAAACGTTCTGTATTCAAATGTTACTGTTCTCCATGTCCCACGAACATATTGGTTTCTGCTTGTATGCTTATATATTCAGACTTTTTCTGGATATCCCACCTTTTGTGTAACATAGACATTTTAAATGGTTCAAGTGTCTGTGCACACCAGAGAAGATACAATTTTGTATGTGGGAATTAGTATGTTGGCATGACATTGATAAAAAATCTGAAATTAAGAGCACCATCACTCAAAAGATGAGCACCCCATAGCACCTGCTATTTTTTTCAATGTGGTTCCGCCTCTGATGACAACACAATGCAAAAGGTTTGATAAATTTATATTTAGAGGCTATTAATAAATCTTCAAACAGGGGCGCTGGTGGCGCAGTGGTTAGTGCGCGCGTCCCATATATAGAGGCTGTAGTCGTCAACGCGGGCGGCCCGGGTTCGAATCCAACCTGTGGCTCCTTTCCCGCATGTCATTCCCCACTCTCTCTCTCCCTGATTTCTGTACACTGTCCTATTTCTCCATTAAAGGCACAAAAAGCCAAAAAATAAATCTTCAAACAGCAACCAACTAATGTTAAAGGAGCAATTAGTAACTCTGACACCTAGTGTTAAAAAGGTAGGGTTAGGGTTGTAACCTAGATGAAAACATTTGAGAGAGCTGTTTCTCACCATCCCCTCCTCCCTAAAGATCCATGCTGTTGCCACGTCATAGACACTGAAGTCTGCTGTCTTTTGACTATAGTAAGGTCATTTTATGAACTTAAGCCAGTACATATTTACATATTGTTGCTTTAACCTACTTAAACCATTATTTATGTAATCTACTTTGTTGGCACTCACAGGAACATGTTCCGTTCCAAGAACGAGATGGTATTGTTGTCCGGGAGGAGTTTGAGCTCGACGTGGGAGCTGGATACGTTTGGCAGCAGGTCCCAGCCTTCCTGATGGTTAGCAACCGACCAGACCAGAACCCAGTCCCCATAAATCTGTGACAAGAGGGCGACAGATCAGGGTCAATGAAATGGTAGCTCATAAGTTTTGGAAGTTCTATCACCCAGAGAGGAATTTATGTTCTAAGATTCAAAAATAAGAGATGGTGTGTTGTTTTGGCTAATTTCACCAGATTTAGACTTTAGAGGGGAACTTTACACTTTAGCACAGTTCTGCATCAACAAAGTAAAGTAATAAATAATTAAACAGAAACACAATTCATATAGCAGGCTTAGTTAAGGTTTAGGGTTATCTTTATTATCTTTTAACACTATGGACCAAGCTTTATCAGATTGATTGGTTTTAGCCTTCAGCATTAGCTGTTATTCGTTTTTATCGATTTAAAGCCAAAACTCCAGCTTTCAAAGGGGTTAGCCCTTCTGCTAACACTGTAGCCACAACACATACAAACCATCATTTGGCTTCTATTGTTCAGTTTTTTGAGCAGTTTATGACTGTGTTTACTAAAAGCAAAAATCTGCGTTTAGCTCCTATAGAATTAACAGATTGATATGATATTTGGACAACTAATGTACAAATTAAAATAAAGGATAGTACAGAAAAGATTACATATGAATAGAATGTAGGTTCAAAAATACTGACAGATGCTACAAAAACATCCCACAACAGTGAGGAAGGTTTGGTCTCAGGCATCAAACAGACCACAAACAGACTTACCTTGTGCAGGTCTTTAGCTGGCACGGTTTTGTTGAGACCATCACAGTCTTCCAGCGCTGCGTAGGTGCCGACAGCTGCCACAAGCAGCAGCAGCATTGTTTTCTTTAGTAAAGTCATGGTGCTCTGAGATGAAGATCAAACCCCCTGGCTCTGTGATCTGTGAGGACAGCAGGAGGTAGGTGGGTTTATAACGAGCCAGGGCCCCGGCTGGCCCTGTATCAGTCCAAAGAGTATGTGTGCTCAGTGTGTTACTGAACTCTCACTCACCCTTTGCCTCCATTCTTCAATAATGTTGCATCCTTTCTTTGAATTGCTAGACCCCATGTTTTTCCAGTATATCATTTTATTTTGTTGATCACCAGTGCTTCTCATATTAACTGTTAAACTGGAAGTGCTATGAAACGTTTGATTGTTTGGTGTGTCAGCTGTCTGCTGTGGAGTTCACATGACTTTCAGAGAGCAAATTAAGAAACTGAAACTTGATAGGTGAACAGGAACAGACTGCAACCCTAACAAGCTGGGCAATCATGTCAGCATGTTTTAGGGAAAAGTTTGAAATAGTTTTAAATTTGTGTTGATTGATTAGTGATTTTTAATAATGTGATTGAGGATTACCCGAGTAGAAACAATCAGCAGTGCATCTGGATGTTTTCCTCAATGGCTGCTGGGTTCATGTGCACATGAAGGTCGTATTGTGTTAATTTACAGAAGAGCAAATACAGTAACAGCAACCTACGCAGACTGACAGACTTTAGTCTCATGGTAAACAGTGACAAAGGGCTCGCTGGTCATAGGCCTCGATGAAGTTTGTTATTCGTTATGAATGAGTTTTGCTGTGTCCTTAAAGAAACAGTCCCAACCCCTTTTTTGTCTGCCTTTATTAGTGATATAACACAACAAGGGAAAGGGAACACAAAGGACAAAAAAGGGTTAGGCTAACCCTAACCCTTTTTTCTACAGGCATACAGTATCTCACAAAAGTGAGTAAACCCCTCTCATTTCTGCAAATATTTTATTATATATTTTTATGGGACAACACTGAAGAAATGACACTTTGATGCAATGTAAACTAGTCAGTGTACAGCTTGCTTGAAAGTTAAAATATGTTGTCCCATCAAAATAACTCAACACATAGCCATTAATGTCTAAACCGCTGGCAACAAAAGTGAGCCAGGGTTAGGTTGGGGAAGCGTAGACACAATGCCCCCCCCCCTAGGGTTAGGGTTAGGGTTAGGGTTAGGGTTAGGGTTAGGGTTAGGGTTAGGGTTAGGGTTAGGGTAGGGTAAGGGTAGGGTTAGGGTTAGGGTTAGGGTTAGGGTTAGGGTTAGGGTTAGGGTTAGGGTTAGGGTTAGGGTTAGGGTAAGGGTTAGGGTAGGAGGTAAGGGTAGGGTAGGGTAGGGTTAGGGTTAGGGTTAGGGTTAGGGTAGGTTAGGGTTAGGGTTAGGGTAAGGGTTAGGGTTAGGGTTAGGGTTAGGGTTAGGGTTAGGGTTAGGGTTAGGGTTAGGGTTAGGGTTAGGGTTAGGGTTAGGGTTAGGGTTAGGGTTAGGGTTAGGGTAGGGTTAGGGTTAGGGTTAGGGTTAGGGTTAGGGTTAGAGGTTAGGGTTAGGTAGGGTAGGGTAGGGTAGGGTTTAGGGTTAGGGTTAGGGTTAGGGTTAGGGTTAGGTTAGGGTAGGGTAGGGTGGGGTTAGGGTTAGGGTTAGGGTTAGGGTTAGGGTTAGGGTTAGGGTTAGGGTTAGGGTAGGGTTAGGGTAAGGGTTAGGGTTAGGGTTAGGGAAGGGGTTAGGGTTAGGGTTAGGGTTAGGGTTAGGGTTAGGGTTAGGGTTAGGGTTAGGGTAGGGTTGGGTTAGGGTTAGGTTAGGGTTGGGTTAGGGTTAGGGTTAGGGTTAGGGTTAGGGTTAGGGTAGGTAGGGTTAGGGTTAGGGTAAGGGTTAGGGTTAGTTAGGGTAAGGGTAAGGGTTAGGGTAAGGGTTAGGGTTAGGGTAAGGGTTAGGGTTAGGGTAAGGTTAGGGTTAGGGTAAGGGTTAGGGTTAGGGTAAGGGTTAGGGAGGGTAGGGTTAGGGTAGGGGGTTAGGGTTAGGGTTAGGGTAGGGTTAGGGTTAGGGTAGGGTTAGGGTAGGTTAGGGGGTTAGGGTTAGGGTAAGGGTTAGGGTTAGGGTTAGGGTTAGGGTAGGGGTAGGGGGGGTAGGGTAGGGTTAGGGTAGGGTTAGGGTAGGGTTAGGGTTTAGGGTAGGGTTAGGTAGGGTAGGGGTTAGGGTAGGGTTAGGGTAGGGTTAGGGTTAGGTAAGGGTAGAGGGTTAGGGTTGGGTTAGGGTTAGGTGTTAGGTTGGGTAAGGGTAGGGTTAGCGAGTTAGGGTTAGGGTTAGGGGTTAGGGTTAGGGTTAGGGTTGGTTAGGGTTAGGGTGTAGGGTTAGGGTTAGGGTTAGGGTTAGGGTTAGGGTTAGGGTTAGGGTAAGGGTTAGGGTAGGGTTAGGGTTAGGGTTAGGGTTAGGGTAGGGTAGGGTAGGGTTAGGGTTAGGGTAGGGTTAGGGTTAGGGTTAGGGTTAGGGTTAGGGTAGGGTTAGGGTTAGGGTTAGGGTAAGGGTTAGGGTAGGGTAGGGTAGGGTTAGGGTTAGGGTTAAGGGTTAGGGTAAGGGTTTAGGGTTAGGGTTAGGGTTAGGGTTAGGGTTAGGGTTAGGGTTAGGGGTTAGGGTTAGGGGTTAGGGTTAGGGTTAGGGTAGGGTTAGGGTTAGGGTAAGGGTTAGGGTTAGGGTTAGGGTTAGGGTTAGGGTTAGGGTTAGGGTTAGGGTTAGGGTAGGGTTAGGGTAGGGTAGGGTTAGGGTTAGGGTTAGGTTAGGGTAGTGGTTAGGGTAAGGGTAGGG